AAAAGGATAAAAATATATAAGATTTGATGTGTTTATTAATTATTTTGGAAGTATATTTATGAGGATGATCCTGGCTGTTACCCCAAACCGCTTCCGGCTGGTGCTTGAGAAAGAGGTTGGGAAGTAGGGAGTGGAAGGAGGAAGGTGGAGTGGTTGAGAGTTTAGTGGGAGGAAGGTGGTATGTGAAAGAGGGGGAAGCAGAGAGGGGATAGCCGGGACCACCCGTAAAGTATCTTTTCTTTTGTGTAGTGATGTTTTGTATTTATATGCATCAAGTTTATGTTTATATTTTGTTATATTTGAAAATAATAAAAAAAAAATTACAAAAAAAAAAGAAAAGAAAATCCAAATACAAAATAGGAGATATAAGAAACATACCCAAGAACCATAAAGGATTGAAATGTTTATACACAAATGCTCAAAGTTTAGGGAACAAACAGGATGAAGTACTAATACCTGAAGGTAAATATGATACAGTTGCCATCACTGAAACATGGTGAGATGAAACTCATGACTGGAATGTACTGATGAAAGGATACAAACTATTCAAAAGAAACAGACCTTATAAAAAGGAGGTGGAATTGCAGTATATATAAAAGATCACTACATCTCTACAGAAATCCACAAAATCAAGGATGAAAACCTCCTAGAATCCATATGGGTCAATGTAAAAGGAAAAAAGAAGGACATTGCTATAGGCATATACTACAAGCCACCCAACCAAGCAGAAGAAATAGATGAACTTTTTGCTAAACAATTAACAAATGTATGTAAGAAATATACTACACTAGTAATGGGAGACTTTAACTACTCAGATATCAACTGGGAGACAAACTCTGCAGCAAGTGGGAGATCAAACAGATTCCTAACCAACCTAGCTGACAACTTTGTATCCAAAAAGTAGAGGAGGGAACTAGAGTAAAAGCTATACTGGACCTAATTTTTATTAATAGAGAAGAAGTGATAGAGGGAGTTGAAATTGCCAGAACCTTGGGCGAGAGTGACCATGTCATATTGGAATTCAATATAATGCAAACACAAGCAATAAAACATAATCCAGCCAGTGTCTTAAACTTCAAAAGAGCTGATTTTAACAAACTCAGAGAGAGTCTAAGAAAAATTCCATAGGTGAAAATCTACTCAAGAAGCATGGGAAACTCTGAAAAATATATCATAAAAGCCCAGTCCAGCACAATACTACTAAAAAAGAAAAACAAGAAATCCAAAAAGAAGCCAGCATAGTTGCACAAAGATCTCTCTGATAAACTGAAAGACAAAAAGGATGAGTATAAAAAATGGAAAGTGGGACACATAACTATGCAGAGTATCAGCAGATAGCCCGAATCTGCAAAGATGAAGTCAAGAAAGTAAAGGCTCAGAATGAACAAAGACTTGCAACAAAAGTCAAAGATAATAAAAAAAGTTTATTTGAACATATAAATAACAAGAAAAAAGTCAAGGAAACAATAGGTCCACTTAAGAGAGAAGATGGTAAGGAAGCAACAGGCACAAACAGAAAGCAGAACTGCTTAACTCATTTTTTGTATCAGTCTTCATGCAAAAAGAAACTATAGCCCAACCTACCAAAAACATAACTGTAAAAGACAGACTAGAAATAAAAAATTAAAATAAGCAAGAAAATGGTAAGAGAATACTTCTCTGATTTTGATGAATATAAATCACTGGGACCTGATGGGTTGCAACCCAGAGTTCTGAAGGAGTTGGCAGGTGTTATCTCAGAACCATTGTACCATAGCTTTAAAAAATCCTGGAACACTGGGAAATTATCTGAGGATTGGGAAAGAGCTGATGTGGTTCCCATCTTCAAAAAAGGGGGGAAAAAGAACCCAGAAAACTACAGACCAATCAGCCTAACATCAATATCTGAGAAGATATTGGAAAAGATAGTCAAAAAACAGATCAGCGAACATCTAGAAACAAATAAAGTTATAACTAAAAGCCAGTATGGATTTGTTAAAAACAGATTATGCCAAACCAATCTTATTTAATTCTTTGACAAAGTGACTAAATTAGTAGTCAAGAGAAATGCTGTGGACATAGTATACTTAGACTTCAGCAAGGCACTCAACAAAGTAGACCACAACCTACTTCTTGGTAAGCTAGAAAAATGTGGGATAGATAACGTCACCACCAGATTGATTTGTAACTAGCTGACAAACCATACTCAACAAGTCGTCCTTAACAGTACCACATCTACATGGAAGGAAGGAAGCAGTGGGGCACCAGAAGGTTCCGTCTTAGGCTCAGTACTCTTCAATATTTGCATAAATGACTTAGGTGATGGAATAGAAGGGGAACTGATCAAATTTGCAGCTGACACTAAGCTAGCAGGAATAGCCAACACTCCAGAAGACAAGCTCAGGATCCAAAAAAGATCTTGACAGACTTGAACAATGGGCCCTATCCAACAAAATGAAATTTAATGTAGAGAAAAGCAAGGTTTTACACGTAGGCAGGAAAAACACAGACTAGGTGAAACCTGGCTCAAAAACATTTGAGAAAAAGACAGCTGCTTTTCTGACATGTGGCCAATCTATTCTGGAGCTCTGGAGATCTTTGAAAGGTAACTGAGCAATCGGTGATGGGGTGGGGAGGAACATGTGAAACGCGGTGAGCTAGCAAAGCAGGCCTGTGGAGACCTGGCAGGGCAGGATGGGAGGGAAATAGGCAGGGGGCATGTTGCAAGCATCTCCACAGTTGATCATAAGGGTGAATAACTGCTGTGATGCTGTAACATACATAATTTTGGGTCGTAAATACTTTTGGGGTTATGTGTCATAAATTTGAAGTAAGTAAACTGTTATAATTTGAGGAATACTTATATTTTGAGCAAATCTTCCTTTATAGTTTACTGTATATTTCTCATCCCCTTACATTTATTTCTGTGCATTATGTTTTTATTTTATGATATTATGACAGAATGAAAAACAAATAATGACCTGCTTATTTTATGGCACTTTTAAAAAAATGACAAATAACGTTTCACTAAATATTCTAAACTAAATTAAAGTAACATCAGGATAAAGCATCTTGCACTCATGTTAATTTTTATTTCCTGATTTTAGGCTTTAAAATATAATTATTACATTTTTACAACATACTGCAAAATCACACAAAAATTATTATCACTGGAATATATGTTAGTGATAACATATATTGTGTTAGGATATTTTTTTCTGAAATAATCTATCACAGCAAAATATTAAAGCTTGGAAATACAAAGTAATGAGCATGTTCTCCTCTGCAATTTTTTTTCCAATTTCCCAGTCTAGCCTACAGCCCTAAGATTTTCTAGTGGTTTTTCATGTCAGCAGATTCAACTTTACTTAACTTTTTGAGCTGAGGTTGGCTTAATGCCTGTGCATCAAAGAGTCAATTTTTTTTTGGGGGGGGGGAATGTTATTTTTCAGGCTTGTTATTATTCAGACATTTTTCAGAGCGCTCAATGAGAGATGTGGGGCTCTCTCTCAGCTCAATCTTCACCACAGGATTGTTGGAACAAAATGAAATGCAACTATAACTCTGAAAAAAAGAGATAAATATATAATATATAAATCATGTATTTTGTCCTTTTTGAAAATGTACTCTTTATCTCTGCAATCATTTTTGTTTTTGTTTTGGTAAGGAGGAATTCTGTGGCAATTTATTGACTGTGCAATCTTTGATGCCTGCAGTAGTTACCTAAATAACAAAAAAGTAAAAGTATAAATAGTATGGTATAATTTCAGTAAATAATCTGGTACAAAATTTGTATGTAGAAAACAGAACTTCCATTTATTAATTACAAAAGCTGCCTATCCCTACTATGAAATTCTCCACAGAACAAAACAAACCTACCTAATATTAAAAAGAAACATAAGATATTAAGTATTGATGGTTTCAAAAAACGTTTGACAAAGGTGTCTTCATTTATTTAATTCTCACCTTTTCCTAATTTCTGAATCCACAACCATTTGCCTCTTCTTGGGAGGTGGCACTTGTGGGAGCTCCTCTTTACCATGTTTAACCAGAATCTGCTCTCTGGTGGTCACCATGGTCACAGTCTCCATTACTGTGGTCTGTGTTAGTGATGTTTGAGTGGCAGCAACCGCCTGTGAAATCTGTGAGAAGTATTAAAGCAGAGGTCCCACATTGGCTGAAAGGCTTTAATTAAGATGTTTTAGAGTGGCAATAGAAAATAAAGAGAAATTGTTCTTTCTTGCTCTTGACCTTCAGAACAAAACAACACTGTATTGAAATGCAACCATTTTTTTTTATCTGACTCATGCTAGATAAATAAGACATATGGAAAAGTCAATATTAAGACATTAATATGAGAAGCAAACAGAATGAATTTGTAGCCCATTTTGTACAAAGTAAAGCAAAGGCAAAAAATACAAAGGTTCAATTTTGCAAGGCAAATTATACAATATACCTATTTGGATTCTCCCCCATGCCCCTTTTTAAGATTGCTACTTCACCAGAGAAAAAGCAAGTGTTTTTAAAAAAACTAATTAAGATTTTTAAAAATTTGTTAAGTCTTCACAAACATTTCATTTTATTTTCTGTTTCCATGTTTATTACTGAAGATATTATTTAGAGAACTCAGTGGAAAAAGGTGTACTGCTGGTGCCATTTAAAGATTCTTTCTTCCATGTTAAAACAATTATTTCTTTGTCTTCTAGTAAAAAAAACAACAGAAACAACAAAAGGCAGGTATTCACTCTCACTGTGGCAGGACATGGAAGGATTCTTTCTACAGCTTTCATAATTCTCAGAGCAGGATCCACTTATCATCTATCTATTCATTCATCTGTCCACCTAGCACACGGGTCAGCAACCTGCGGCTCTGGAGCCACATGTGGCTCTTTGAGCCTTCTCCTGCGGCTCCCAGCCTCCTCTGCCATTTGCAGAGAGAGAGACAGAGAGAGAGAGAGACACTTGTGCTTCCCTTCTCTCTCTCTCTCTCTCTCTCTCTCTCTCTCTCTCTCTCTCTCTGTGTGTGTGTGTGTGTGTGTGTAAAAAAGAGAGTGGCCTCACCTCTGCTGAGCTGACAAGCTTATTGGGCGGGCTCCTGCCTTGGCTGTGTCTCTGCAGGAAGCAGGAAACAGGAAGCAGGAAGGGCAAGAGAGAGCAAGCTCAATAAGAAAGTGTGTCAGCTTGTTGGAGAACAGCTTGAAGCCAGCTTGCCAGGTGAGCAGAAGATCGCAGAGAGGGAGAGAGAGGGAGAGGGAGAGGAAAGAGAGAGAGGGGGAGAGAGAGAGGGAGAGGAAAGAGAGAGAATGAAAGACAGGGAGAGAAAGAGAGAGAGAGGGAAAGAGGAAAGAGAGAAAGAAAGAGGGAGAGAGAGAGTAGAGCGAGAGAGAAGGAGAAAGAGAGGGGGAGAGGAAACAGAGGGGGAGAGGAAAGAGAGAGGGAGAGAAAGAGAGACAGAGAGAGAGAGGAAAAAGAGAGAGAGGGAGAGAAAGAGAGGGCAAGAGAGAGAGGGGGAGAGGAAAGAGAAAGAGAAAGAGGGAGAGAAAGAGAGAGAGAGAAAGAGAGAGAGAGAGAGAGAGAGAGAGAAGAGGGAGAAAAAGAGAGAGGGAGGGAGAGAGAGAGGGAGAGGAGAGAAATGGGGAGAGAGAAAGAGGGAGAGGAAAGAGAGAGAGAGGGAGAGAGAAAGATAGAGGGAGAGAGAGGAAAGAGAGAGGAAGAAAGAGAGAGAGAGGAAAAAGAGAAAGAAAGAGAGAGGAAGAAAGAGAGAGAGAGGAAAAAGAGAAAGAAAGAGAGAGAGGAAAAAGAGAAAGAAAGAAATAGGGGAAAGAAAAGAGAGAGGGAGAGGGAGAGGAAAGAGAGAGAGAGAACTCATGCATAGCAGCCTCTATTTCTTTTTAATTAAACTCTTTAATCACGCTTCCCCCCCTCTCTCGCACGTGCCCGGAAGTTTTGCGGCTCCCAGTGTTTTCTTTTCTCTGGGAAACGGGTCCAAGTGGCTCTTTGAGTGTTTAAGGTTGCAGACCCCTAACCTAGCACCAAAGCCCTTCTATTCATATTCTGTACAAATGTGTATATGCTCTAGTTAATCATTCCTATCCTAGAAAGCCTAAGATCACAATGCATCAATTGTGGAAAATTTTAAATTAGTTCAAAGAATGAGTCATACTCAGTTACATTTTCACCTTTATAGTGAAAAGTTAGTAAATAGTGTAGGATAATATAAGGCTATATTTGGCAATGTTCATACTTATGGCAGTATCATACCCTGTGAAATTACTGAGTTGTGACTTTCAGGGAAGAATCCTCAAAATGTAAGGGAGCCAGTATTATTGTAAGCCTAAAATATTTCAAGTATAAACTTATTATTAACAAGAAAATCTTCCATGGCTTTTAAGTATCAATTTATCTTGGTATTAGTCATAATTTCAATATCAAATACTTCTCAGAACAGACATATTTACACATTACACCAACAAATCCCCTATCCTTGTAAGATACATAGTTCATCTCCCAAAATTACTAAAATGGTATACCACAATTTCAGACTTAGTAATTGTGATATCACTAACCAATCAGATAATATTTATATAAAATCAAATGTTTGCACAGGACTTATTGAAAATGCAGTCAGACTCCTGGAAATGTAGACTGCAAATAAAATGGGTTGTTTTATATACTACTTTTGAAAGATTTGAACAAGAATGTGCAAATACTCTATATGCAGATTTCTCCAAGTTACAATTAGCTGTTTGATAAAAATTTAGTCTTTTGAAAACTCCTTGTTCTGACTATCAAAGCATTTATGCAAACAGAAAAAATGTAGCTGTTATATCTTTCAGCCAATAAATAAAACATCACTTCTAAGCCTATTTGCAATTATTTATGCCTGCATCAACAAAGTATCTCTGACAGCTACAGATATATCATTCAAGCAGACCAAAACTAAATAAAATAGAAAGTATAGATCCACATATGTAGAAGGCAACTATAAGCCACAGGGAACATTCTATGATGTGTGATTTGACTTTCCTAATAATCCTAATATTTCATAATATTACTTGCCTAAACAAAGAAATAGAATGACCATGGGCAGGAAAAATGCATTGGAATAGGAGCAACCTCTGATTCCCCACTGACTTTGCTTGTAGGAAGCTGGCAGAAAGTATCAGAAATATGATCATATGATCAGTGCTTTTTTTGTAAGAAAAAAGGTGCCGGAAATCAGCCCCCCCCCACCAGGCAATTCTTTGATCGGCAACCTTTCACTCCCCTCCCGAGCCGGACTGCCATGCTAAGGTGGATGGGATGGCAGGGTAGGCCTGGTCCTCCTCCTCCATTTCGGAGCCAGGGGGGAGTGACGGTGAATGACTCCGCTGCCGCTGTGCGCCGCTGGAGGGGCTTTCTTTAAGCTTCGCCCTGCAGATCACCTGCCCGGGTGCAGCCGCCTCCTACTTGTCCTCCGCCAACTCTCCCGTGGCTTGCGCCATGACCAGGTGGCACAAGCCTCCCCTGCCGCCTCCCTCTGCCAGTCCTTTGTCGTCTGTCTCATGGAGAACGTAGTTCGAATAGTCTGGTTTCTTATATATTCATATGCTGGATCTAGATCAAGATGCTTGTTAATTACTCCTTTGGTAGAATACCAGGCTTCAATAAATTCATGTGTGTGTCAGGTATTGGCATGCCCAATGATTTTTGTTCCTTCCCAGTTAAACTGGTATTGTTTATTATCAACAATAATATTAACAATTGATCATAAAAATTGATAATAAAAATATTATAACAATAGCTCGGAGAGCAAACCACTGCCAAAAGCTAAAACCTGAGCTACAAGTATTTTTCTATTATTTCACTGTTTCAGTATTTTCTATTCTGCACTGAAAGCTTCCAGTAAGTCTGAAGTTAGATGCTTAGTAAGTTTTCATCTTTATGCATCTTTTCTCTAAGGAGAAGAAAGAGAAATCTGATAGGATCCTTGTCATGATACATGAAGAAGCTAGGAGGTTTTATTAGGATTAAAGAAATCTCAAGTCTAAGCTATCCTATATCGGTCCCACATTTTATCTGAAATTTGAAGCAAAAAAAGAAAAGAGGGAAACAACTGAATTTGGAATGTTATTCATAGGCAAAAATTATAATTTTAGTTTGGATAGGAGTATGCAGACCAAATTTTGACTCTTTATTAAGTAATTGTCAAATGTATGAGTTTAAAGTTTATGTGATTTAGAGCTAAGAATATCACTTAAAAACAGGAAATATTTTTGTGAATATGGAGTTGAAAGTTGGTTTTGATAAATAGTGTGTAAGATGGAAATAAAGCATTTATTTATGTAAGAACAAACATCATGGCTAAGAAATGATTCAACAATGAGGTGGTAATGATTTGACTGTCATTAACTATCAGGCTAACAGTTTTGACAAACCTGCTTGGAACTGCCCTCCAGCTTCTGTGCCAAACTATCCCAGTGCTGATTAATGTTTTGTAGCCACCCTTCCAGTTTTTGTGATAATCCTTTACTTTTTACTGCTGAAAGAAGATCCTGGCTGAGGGAATTCAGTTTATCCATAGATTGTCTCTTGATTTCCAATTCTCCTTTCAAAATCTGTAAAAGTAATATGGCAAAGAAAACATATAACCTATCAGAAGTAATGATACAAGCTAACTTGGCATTTTTTTCCCCCAAGCAACAAACTTCCATATGCTTTTGTTAGTTTAGTTGATCCTTATAAAATTATCTTTTGGATCTTTCCTCTAGCAGAATAAAGAAGAATCTTGTTAGAGTTAAATAATTATAATATATTATCATCATACTGCATATTTTCATGATTGAATATTATAACTAATATTAAAAATTAGTTCATGCAAGCACATCATTAATCTACATGCAAACTGTATTGCTATTATTTTCACATGACCTTTAGACTAATTAGTTCCCAAAAGATACTTGAAAAACAAATGAAAATAACAACTTAAAATGTTAAATGAAACAATTGTATTACTGCACCCAGAAATAAATGGGCTGGTTATATTAATATAATCAGTAAATATGCCACACAACCTGTCAAAAAATCTAGAATGGACAATCTTATTATACAATATGTAAAGTGAGACATTACTTTCCACGAGCAATACACTGTAAACTAGAGCATTCATTATCAACAATTGTGGCCTAATATTTTATGTAGCATTTATTTTATCTAAAAACTCCACTCATCTACATTGTTAAGGTTTTCAGTTTTGTTTCTTTTACTGAAGAATAGAATATGTTGTACATGCTAATTGTAAATATTTGTTTTGGTAAAATTATTAAGAGATTTTAACTACCGTCCTGCCCTAAACTGCTCAGGTTTTTAGATCTTCAAAATATACATGGCACTAAATCAAACTAATTAGAAAAGGCCCGGCATACAGGTCTGTGCATGTGCCTTTATGTTGGTTCAGAATAATTCAGAATAAAAGGGAAACTCTTAAAAATAGATGATGTTATTCAACAACAATTTATTTTATAATCATCCTGATGAGTTAGCCAGCATCAAAAGGCAATGTATTTTATATCAATTTTTTTCCTCAATGCCTCATATTTTTTCATCTATAGAAATGAAGAGAATATAAGGACATCTAATGGAAGATGGGGCCAATATTAGACAATATGAACCTAGAACAAAATTAAGCAATCTCAGTTGTTTTGCCCAACCATGAACTGTATGCAATTTAGCCAATAATGAATTTTAGTTTTCTGGTCCACAACATCTGTAAGAATAAGGTTGCTTATGTTTATGCTAGAAGATAAAATTCTTGTAACCTAATATTTGCTTTGGAGTTTTGCAAATATTCATTTTGTTCTTCATATCTTTAAATAATATAAACTAATTGAGATCTTTCATTATTTTTGGAATGTGGGATTCACATTATCATTCTGGTTCAGAAGGCACCATTGAATTTAGAATAATGAACTGGAAATTAAAGTGTCACACTTTGTGTGACGGACTGGATCTTTTGAAGCTGAAAAATCAAGGCGAAACTATAATTTCAGATTGTGAGAAATGTTGTTAGGATATCTATACAGATATTCGGTAAGTTTGTGAAAACCCTTTCAGAAATTCCAAAGAGAAGCAAAGTGGGTTGAGAATGAGTTATGGCTCATGACTGGGTATAAAATAACATACCTTTGCTGCTTTTGCTGTATTTGACATTATAAGTGAATACCTGAATAGCAATAGCAATAACACTTATATACCCCTTCACAGTGCTTTACAGCACTCTCTAAGTAGTGCACAGAGTCAGCATATTGCCCCCATCAACCTGGGTCCTCATTTTACCAACTTGGAAGGATGGAAGGCTGACTCAACCTTGAGCCGGTGAGACTCGAACTGCCGAACTGCTGGCAGTTGGCAGTGAGCAGAATTAGTCTGCAATACTGCATTCTAAACACTGCGCCACCATGGCTCTTCTGAATAGATTGTTCATCAAATGGCTATCCAGAATTTTTGAGAGTCATTCAACACATGAATTTAATAAATCATCATCATCATCATCATCATCATCATCATCATCATCATCATCATCATCATCATCATGATGTCTTTGCTACCTCCACTTCTAGACATGGGCCAGTTAAGCATAAGCCCCTTCAAGATTCTGTACTATAATAAGCATTCCTATGCCTCATTTTTGTGGTGGGCTTATTCTATTTCTTTTACGATTTTTGCGATAAAACATTGCTACCAGCAAAACATTTGTGCTATATTAAAAACAAATTTGATATGGTTCCAGACCTTTAAAACACCTTGACAATTTTGTACAAATAAATGTAAAAGTGTTGGCACACAGTATAATCTAAACATATAAACTTCAGGGAATACATTTTTAAGTCGAGGTAAACCATCTGGTCTCTCTTTCTTTGCAAAAAACTCACTTGAGCAGCCCAGAGACAAGGTTCTGTAAACTGCCTGCTGATATTTAGCTTTCTGGGGCTTGTGCTGTTCTAAAACTTTGAGGATTTATATGGATAAATGTACATTTTATGTTATAAAATTTTTCTCATGTCATAGCATGAAGTTAAATTAGTGAAACAACATATGCTTAAGATTATGCTGACAGATGGTCACCATTTTTGGTCTCCAATTGTGACATATTTTAATGAACATTAAATTTGTAGTCAGTGTGTGCGTCAGTAGGGACCCTCAGTAGCAATTTTAAACCAGCTGCCTCATACCTGTTAATTAATCTGAACAATCAGATGACAAAAACTTTAAAATATATATTTCTGCTTTATCACAAGAAAAAGGCTCAGACATGTCAATGTCTAATTATACAAGCATTATCCTAAAGCAGTGATGGCGAACCTTTTAGAGAGCGAGTGCCCAAAATGCAACCCAAAACCCACTTATGCATCGTCGGGTGCTGGGTGGGTGTGGCCCATTGGGTGGGTGTGGCCCATTGGGTGGGCGTGGCCCATTGGGTGGGATGGCTGCGGTGGTAACAGCAGACTGGGTGGGACTAAAAAGTTCAATCAGTCAATTCCAACTTTGCAAGATCTTTTTTTTTTCCGTGAGAAGTTGAAATTGACTGATTGATTAAACCTTTTTTTTGTACACGGCGGTGGAGGCCTAAAGTGAAAAGGTTTTATAAAACCCCTGAAGGCCTAGGACTGGGGCGACAGCATGCGTGCCCACAGAGAGGGCTCTGAGTGCCGCCTCTGGCATCCGTGCCATAGGTTCGCCGCTACTGTCCTAAAGAGTACCTTATTAAAGAACCATATTAATTTCAAAGCTTTTCTATATATTCATCACTGTAGAGGTTGCTTTTATTTATATCCATCACTTATATAACAGTGGCCACATCTCAATATATCTTTCACTTGCTTTGGCACAATATAAAGACTTACAATATAGAGATGAATATGACATTCAAAGATTAAAATAAAAAACAGCTCTTAGCTCTTGGTTTTTAAAGTTTGAGCTGGTTTTATTTCAGGGTATATTATTGCATACCCACTGTTATTTTCAGGGAAGTGGGCAACAATGAAGGGAAATAACCCAAATCTAAATATGATTTTTTTTTAAACAGAAAACCATACCTATTGATGGTTTTTATGTTATTTCTCTGCAAGTCTGAATTAGATCTGTAACTAATCCAAAATAGTAACAGTAACAGACCTTTTATTCTCTTAGCTCTAGGCAAATTACTTGGAAAGTAATCAATATTAATAATCTGCTAACAGAATCTATTGCAATATTAGCATTATTTCAGTAATAGGGCATGTAATACATTAATTCTAGTGTAAGGTTATATAAGGCCAGAAACCTTATAGTACACTTTTTCATCATTTGGCTTCCAATTGCTGTTCACCATTGTTTGATATGAGAATGGCTCATGAATCAATATTACTTGTTCAATAAAGTCAAACTGAAGCTTTCAGAATCTCAATAACAAATGAAGTCCTTCAAGAGTTCTCTGACATAAGTATCTATTTAATTTATCTCTCATTCAGAAGAGAGGGAGAGGGAGAGAGAGAGGGGGAGAGAGGGAGGGGGGAGAGAGGGAGGGAGGGAAGGAGAGGTTGTTATACAGAAGACAGTGTGGAAAATGTTAAAAAAATTATCAGTGATATTATTTTAGTTATTTTGATATCAGATTTTGAAGGTACCTATCATCAACAAAAATAATATCTTTTCTTTAGTTATACCAATATTTAAAAATTAAAGTACAGAAACCATAATCATTGGTTTAATTTAAAAATAGCCGGAGATCGTAAAGTAATATGTGCTATCTGTCCTAAAGCTGCACATAAGCAAATCATATGAACTATAAAGTTCTTGACTTCACTTCATATCTACTATGAATTTGATAAAATATACAAGTACTAATTACAAAGATTATTTCATAAATGGAATGTAAATACTAAAAACATGTAAACAATCATAGCTATTAACATGATGATGATGATCATGATGATGATGATAAAGAAGAAGCAAAATTTATCTCCTAATTAGCGATGTCTTGCAGACCACAATGATGCAGAAATAAGAGATGTCTTTTGGCATTTGTCTCCTAATATCTAACCCAAGTAATGTGATATCATGGCACATGTTTCATCACTTTTCTCTGTGTGGATACCCACATTTATTTCAGAAAATGAGGTTTATAAGCTGATAGGTTTTAGAAACAAGAATGGGCTAACGATTAAATCATTCTGTGTGAACCTGTTTATCAATAATACTAAGAACAGAGATTTGATATTATTCATTGTTGGTTGGGATGTTTCCAGAGCTTAAACATTTGCCAGCTGGATCCTCGGTTTGCTGGGTTCAATTCAAAATACCAGTTTAAACCCATAAACTCATAGTTGAGTGTATGCAAAATATTTTGTTGCCAGAATTTTGTTTAAAGCTACTTGATTGGGTCATTTACAGGTCTTCTGCTGAAATATGTGATACAAATGTTGAAAACTGGGAAGAAAAATGAGTACTATACAAAAAAACCCCACAAAACATACAGCCAATTTTTGTAGATTTTCCAACATTTCCTTCTGGTCTTTGAAATCGGTAGTATTGATAGTAGTCACAAATTCTTCCTTTTCAGTAAACCATGTATCCAAAAGACCCTAAAAGTTAAAAAAAACCATTTAGAAAGACTGCATATTAAATATTATAAAGCAATGAGTAAATAGATATACCTAACCTGTTCTTCAATAAATTGCAACCATTTCCGAAGAACATCTTGCAGAATAAACCAACGGTCCTCTGTCCATCTACAAATTGCTGCCCAACGGTTTCCCAAATGCTAAAATAATGACATCAGCATTAAGAAGTTAATAACTATTTTACACTTCATTTATACCAGACTTCATTTTTTTTAATTTAGCCTTTAATACTGTTAGAATCTTTCAATTCATATTTTATGGCTACATTATTGTGGATGGTTGTACAATCAGCCAGATATTTAGGCTGGATATGGCATTTTTATCTACCTACTGAGTCCTTTCCAAGGCCTTGGGATAGGCAGAGGTGGTTTTATGGTGTTAAAGCTACCATCACAGGATGTAAGTTGCTCCAAGTTAAGCTGCCTTTTACAACTGATTGATGGAATTATGTCAATGATGATGATACTATTATTATACATCTAAGACATAATTTCAGGGCAAGCTGAAATTCTGCACCACAAAATGCATTCCTAGAAAGCCAGATTTTTATGGCCCTTCAGAAGCCCAATGAGATGTGGAAGTACAAGACATCTGGGGGCAACTCATTCTACATTGTATTATCTGGCCAAATGTACCCACCTGGGGAAAAAAAGATAAGTAGAGTTGGATCTGGAAAAAAAACTGGTAAAATCTAATTATATGTAGAATAGAAAGCATAAAAAGAGTGTGCAAGAAAGCAATATGGACAAAAAACATGGACATGTTAATGCAGTCAACAGGATTTGGTGAAAATTTACTGTTTTTGTCTTTTCCTTTTAAAAAAGTATATACTTGAGACAATTCTAGTTCAGACAATTCCTGAAGGAAATACAGCTATTTTTCCCTAGTAACACAACATTTATATATATCTTGTGTAACTTGTCAGTGACCAAAATAAAATATTTTGAATTCTTTAGAACTGTCCTCCATTATTCTAGCAGTCAGCAGGAAGTCAAATGATACAAAATCAGATTAACACTTGATTTGATACAGCAGTGTTCTAATTTCTTGTTAAAAGAACTTCTACATGTATCAACAGTTTAACAAAATGCAAATATTGAAAGAAGTACAATGATCAAGAAACTATATAAATTTAGAAATGTTAATTATAGGTTAAAAAACACTGTTTCCTGTAACAGCTTCAAAATTAGCTATCAGAATGAAAGTAATGCTTCATTTATTGTATTCATTGTTCTTACAATGTGGGCTTACATTAATGACAGCATGCACCCATATTCACAGTTAAATCTGACATTATGATAAACCATAACCAATTATTGTATCATTGAATTCCAGGTTCACTGAAATTATCATAGCATTACTGTACAGTCAAGTGATTTTTCCTACTGTGCATATTTTTAAATTTGACTGTAATGTCAATTACATTTTTTGGAGGGGAGATCTTTTTTTTAGTAAAATTGTATGGAAAAGGCAAGTGAAAAATAAAAGTGTACAGGAATACTTGAAAGTTAATATTTACCAATTCAGATTTAGAAAGTAAAATATTTGTTCTTCCTAATCATAAATTATTCATTCATTCATTTGAGTATCGCTGAATTGTGTTGAAATAAAGGTGGCACATGTCTGACACTTTCTCCCTGAGTAGTAGCTGGGAGAATAGTTGTTTAACATAAACCCACATTAGAGAGACTAATTCAGTTTTAAACAATATTAACATTTTTACCTGTCATTTACCATAGAAATATATATTTTCAGTATAACTTAGATATAGGAGGAATATGCACGGAATCATATAGCAATCTTAATTTAGCAATTACCTGAAGTTGTTGTTCTAATGCAACTGTAGCCCTATCTCCACTAGCTTCATCTACTACAACTACCATATGAGTGAGTGAATTAACCTTGACTTGTTCCTGTTCTAAGTCTTCTTGAAGAATCTTTAACGAAAAAGAAAAAAAAATGTTAAAAAATAACACAAGGACAGCTTCTTTTCCTTTTTATGAACTGAGCTATTTAGAGCCATAGGAACAGGCATTCATTATTAGTTATAACAAAGACCTCACTCAAAAATTTGTGCCAAAACACACAAAGAACCATAGTCTGTATAATTTCTATTACATTAAACATAGATAAATTTCTATCAACTTAAGAGAGTCACAAATGGAAAATTAAAAAAAAACAACAATTGTTGAATGCATGAATCCACTCCTTAAAAAGTCTTATTATTCTTTTCCTCAATTCTTAAAAGATGAAAACTATCACACTTGCCAGAAATAAGCCCCACCAAAGATTGGAAAAATTCTGAGCAAAGAAGTATAGATTGCAGTTTTTAAAATTAATAATAATTGTCTTTTAGCTATGAGACATAAATTTAGTTTCATTCATTTTTGGTATAACTATGCAGTATCCTTATTTATTTATTCATTTTTTATGCAGCATCTACACTTGAATAGCCTCTTTGAATGTGTTTTACATTTATGGTTCCATTAAAAGTCAAATTATTACAAGCATAAATGACTCAATAAAATATATATTTCTAGAGGACTGTTTAAAAATTGTACTATGCTCTATACATTTTAAAGAACGATATTTCAAAAGGGTAGCATTTGAAAAGGTTTATATATATGTATTTCTCTAGAGGATTTTTTTTTAACTCTCATGGTTCAAATAATATATAGCTAATTTGCACTTATTAGAACAGATCCATTTTTTTAAATATAGGGTATGTAGACCGACTTCCGCACTTTGAGTCTTATTATAGAAAGGGAGTCAGGACACCAAAAGGCATAAATTCTGCCTTAGCAGAATTGTAATCTATCTTAGTAGAAATATTGTGGAAAAGTAGAAGGAAGAAAGAAAGGAAGGAAGGAAGGAAGGAAAAGGACTACCCAGAAAAGCTGTTATATAAAAGTATAGCAGGACCTGGTTAGTCCCTAAATAAGAAACTAGAAGAAAATCAAAGGGTATAACTAGACTATAAATTTTCCTAAGTATAAACATATATACATTCTGTGAGAAGATAATGGTTAAGTATGTTTGCATGACTGCCAAGAAATTGGCATGTAGTTATTAGGGTTTAAGGGTCTCAAAGACTCAAGAGTCTTTAGTTTAATTGCATGAATATTAAGCAAAGCTGAAATAATTTTGTTGGCTATCTTTTGAATGCTTGGACATGTTTAATTCAACATTTTAAGTCAAAGTATATAAAACACTAGAATAAAAATAATAATAAAAAAACCCAAAAGCAGGTAAAAACAAAATATTATAGCAACATGTAGCTGATAAAACATGAAAATATTTTGTACCATACATTTTACATAATGTATCAGATATTTTAATTTAATCAACCTCACAGGACTTCATCTGTTCGTCTAGATTGCATGGATATACCATTAATAAAAAAGAGGCTACCTATCAATGTAGATAAACAAGCAGGTTTTCTGGAAATGATAATCTTAAGCACATAACAAAGAATGTACATTTTCTGTTTTTCATTTTAATGCCAACTTACAGCTACTGGAATTGCATAGCCAAAGGCTATTTCAGGTCTATGTCAGGCATAACTAGCAGGCACAACCCTACTTCACAGTTAGAATGCATGGAAAACTGGTAAATACTTGGATTGCCTAGGACTTAGTGTCACATATGTATGGTTGAGAATTTTAATACATACAAGAAATGTGAAGAATACAACATTTTGAATCCATCAAATAACTCGAGGATCAGGTGTTTCATTAAAAAGTATATCTCATCCATGGAAGGTCATCTATCACAACCCTTAATCAGTTATATATGATGCTAAGAATAAGTACAAAAAAGTAGAAATAGAGATAGCATCATACACAATATTAATATCTATTAAAGCACATCTGAGATTTTATTAATCAGAATTAATGGTGTGTGTGTGTGTGTGTGTGTGTGTGTGTGTGTAAGAAACCTTCTTAGACTACAACATAAATGCACAACAGAAACACACTTTTATCCAGTTCTTTTGTTCATTTTGTGCTGGCGTGTTGCTTTTATAATTAAATTCATTTTTCAAAAATACTTCATCTTTTGTATATAAAGGCAGGTACTGAGCTTGAATACTTTACTGTGCTTGGGGGCTGCAACACAGTCACAACACTGCTAATGAGATTAGAAATCCCAATTATAATAACTAATAGTGTTGATTAGCTAGTAGAGTACTTTAAAAAGAAAGCAAAAGGTAGCAAAAGAAGGAAACTAGGGAATAATAAAATCAGAAACATTATTATTGTATTTTGCAATAAATAGCATATTGCAATTCCCTTTCCTCTTATCATTCCAGAATACTTTTTATTATGCAAATAAAGAAAGAAAAATAAGTAAATAAAATTATAACACCCTTATCTTATTAATACAAAATCTATTTCTGTGCAACGCTCCAAAGTGTGGTATTTTTTATATTAGAATTTCAAAACAAGGTATTTCATTTTATATAAATATTGCTTTTACATAATACTGTGCTGACATTTATATAAAGAAATGCTAAAAATTAATGTGGCTTTTGAAAACTACAGCTTACCTTATGTTCTTCTACCTGCCTCTTTAAGCCTTCTAGATCAGGCCCCAAATATTCTGACTCCATCTTTGCTGTTCTTTTTTCTGTTTTAGCTAACCAGTCAGATAGCTCTCTGAGCTGCTGGTTTTGTAAATCCATTAGAACTTGGTGTAAACTAGAAAGAAATGTTTTTTTTAAAAAAAATGAATTAAAATAAGCTAAGGAATTCAATATATCTGCTGCATCTTGAATCTTCAGTTGAATAACTTAAACCCGTTGATTAGAAATTCTATTACAAATCACTGTTTTAACAGTCTGTAGCTGTATTTCTATAATCAATGTAAATGAAACCAAAACGAATGTCATATTAAATATAGAAGATACTATCAATAGACAAAGACATTTTAGAGATTGTACTCAGAAATAAGTCCCATTTGGCAAAGAGCAGAAACGGAAACTGATCATTTTGAAGTCAGCTGAGTTCTCTCTCTCTCTCTCTCTCTCTCTCTCTTTCTGTGTGTGTGTGTGTAATTTGATGAAATGGCAAAACAAGCATGAACTCTTTTTGTATAAGTTTTACTAAATGTTTTAAAAAGAAGATAAAATTAAAAATTAACGAAAACTAATACAAAGTAAAGAAAGAAAAGAAAATAGAAACAAATGAAAGAATAAAATGCAAAAAGAAAAGGAAGAAGCTTCCAATTTCTTTTTCAGCAAATACAAGTTCAAAATTATATCTTACTCTATTGCTACAAAAAAAACATCAGTTTGAAAATAATCTCCCCAAACTCACTGAATTCCCACAGCCACTCATAGTCTTAAGGGCTTATGCCCTTAAAACAGTCAATAACTCAAGGAAGATCAAAATTTGATCAAAAGTTACCTTCCCTTCAATTTGTCCTTGAGAGACTCTTACCCTGAAATTCTAATATAATAACATTTAAGGTTTATACAATAAGAAAAGCTTTCTTAACATGATCCCTGCTGAGTTCAATTTTATAACCTCAAAGAGGCTGTCAATATCATTTGAATAGCTAACTCCAGTTCAGGCAAAACTAGTATACCAATGTCCATCCTCTGAATTGTTCTGAGTCTCTGCTGGCACGTTTTACAAAAAAAATCACCCATTTCCAGAAAATTATGTCTTAATTCAGTTGTCAGTTTTCAGTTAGGCTTGGCAGAAGATTCCCTAAGCACAATTTAGATGGTTTAGATTATTTATTACAGACAAACCTGAAACTCTGACAAAATATTTGGTTGCTTATGCCAGAACAAACAATTTAGAGCCTTTAAAAAAATCTAAGTTTAAAACATTAAGTTTCTTCTGCTGATTTTCTAAGTTAACAAAGTTTACTCAAGAGCAAGTAGTGTTACAGGAAGTCCATTTCTCTTCACTGCTGCTACTCAGACACTTAGAGTGTGTTTACCAATTCTTGGTACAACCTAATGCCTCAGAATTTGCAGTAGGATCTGTTCTATTCCACTAGAGAAAGAGTGGGAAAGGATCTCCTCCTCCTTTGACCAGTTGAATGAAACTATGACATTTCCAATAACATTTGCTTATGGTACAGTCAACATTCCAGCAATAGAGGCACTTCCTGGGTGGTGCTGCCTACCTAATAAAGAATTTGCAGTAAACACAAACTCTCATACCTCGACTAATCAGGTGGACAGATTTTCTCCTGTTTCAATTTTAATATCACCAATATTCTTGGATCCCAGACAAGCTCCCAGATGTCCTGTCAAATATGGAATAGAAAGGAGATTCTACACTAACAAAAATGTAGATTGCCCAGAACATAAAACTGTGAGGCTATTTGGGAACAATGAATAGATTATGAATAACACTATTGCAAAACAATTCACTAGGAAGCATATAAATAGGAACAAGAGGGGGACTTTTTTTCCCAAGAGTTTCTATTTTTTTTTTCAGAAACTGAAGCAAGTTTACATAGGGGTTTCTTGTAATTTTATCCCCACAATAACACTGGGGCAAGCAATAGGGAGAAAGCAGAACTATTTAACTCATTTTTTGCATCTGTCTTTACACAAAGGGAAAAAACAGACCAACCTATCAAAAATAGTGCCAAAAAACCAGTATAGAAACACAAGTTAAGATAGGCAAGAAAATAATAAGTGAGCACCTGTCCAGCCTAGACGAATTCAAATCACCAGGACCAGATGGATTACACCCCAAGGTTCTCAAGGAACTGGCAGATGTGATCTCAGAACCACTGAACTATATCTTTCAAAGATCCTGGAGCACAGGGGAACTACCAGAGGACTGGGAAAGACCTGATGTAGTTCCCATCTTCAAAAAAGGAAAAAAATGGAACCAGGAAATTACAGACCTATCAGCCTGACCTCAATACCTGGGAAGATTCTGGAAAAGATAATCAAACAACGAATCAGAGAACACCTAGAGGCAAACAAAATCACTACTAAAAGCCAACATGGGTTTGTCAAAAACAGATCATGCCAGACAAACCTTATTGCATTCTTTGACCAAGTGACAAAATTAGTGGATCAGAGGAATGCTGTGGACATAATTTACTTGGACTTCAGTAAGGCATTTGATAAAGTAGATCACAATCTACTACTTGATAAGATAGAAAAATGTGGGTTAGATAGCATCACCACCAGATGGATTCATAGTTGGCTGACAGGCCGTACTCAGCATGTGGTCCTCTCAATGGAACTGCATCTACATGGAGGGAAGTGTATAGTGGGGTGCCCCAGGGCTCTGTTCTGGGCCCAGTGCTCTTCAACATCTTCATCAACAATTTGGACGAGGGGATAGATGGGGAACTCATCAAATTTGCGGAAGACAGGCTTAAGATACAGGAGGACCTGGATAGACTTGAACACTGGGCGCTATCTAATAATGAAATTCAGTGGTGAAAAAAGTAATTTTAGGCAATTCTACATCTAGGCAAGAAAAACCAAATGTACAGGTATAGTATAGGGGGTACCTTGCTCAATAGTAGTAACTGTGAGAGGGATCTCAGAGTCCTAGTGGACAATCACTTAAATATGAGCCAGCAGTGTGCTGCAGCTGCCAAAAAAGCCAACACAGTGCTGGGCTGCATTAACAGAGGGATAGAATCAAGATCACGCAAAGTATTAATACCACTTTGGTAAGGCCACACTTGGAATACTACATCCAGTTCTGGTCACCACGATGTAGAAAAGATGCTGAGACTCTAGAAAGAGTACAGAGAAGAGCAACAAAGATGATCAGGGGACTGGAGGCCAAAGCATATAAGGAAAGGCTGCTGGAATTGGGTATGTCTAGTTTAATGAAGAGAAGGACGAGGAGGGACTTGATAGCAGTATTCCAATATCTCAGGGGCTGCCACAAAGAAGAGGGAGTCAAGCAATTTTCCAAGGCGTCTGAAGGCAGGACAAGAAGCAATGGATGGAAACTAATCAAGGAGAGAAGCAACCTAGAACTAAGGAGAAACTTCCTGACAGTTAGAACAATTAACCAGTGGAACAACCTGCCTCCAGAAGTGGTGAATGCTCCAACACTGGAAGTTTTTAAGAAGAGACTGGACAGCCATTTGTCTGAAATGGTATAGGGTTTCCTGTCTGAGCAGGGGGTTGGACTAGATGA